ATATATACATATATATATACATATATACATATATACATATATATACATATATAAATATATATATACATATATATACATATATATACACATATATATGTACACATACATACATACATATAAACACACATACTGCATATCTTCAAACATACACACATATACACATATAGTGAGAGTTTTGATGTGATGTAAATGTTAAGATAAATGACAATGTTTCACGTAAACGTACGTTCACACTTACGTTTAAGTTCTAAGTCTCAAGGACATCCAACCTAAGATTACACCATCACACAACTAATGCAGTATTGCTACTGCAGATGTGTCCTTGAACGCGACAGATGCAATAATTACTTTGAATCCTTTTAGGGATTTTTTTTTTTTAATTTCCTAAAACCTGAGAGAAAAACCTGAGATTTTTTTTTTCTTTTTGTGACATTCAAATGCCATCACATATAAAAGGGAGGAGTTTGTGTTGTGGGGGGTGGGGGGAGTTCCCAGGTCTGACACATCAGCTGCAGGTGTTGCTGGCCTGCAAGTCGTTCGTGTCGGCTTGTGATTGGTTCCTGTCCTCGGCTGGTGATCGGTTCCCGTCCTCAGCTGGTGATCGGTTTCTGTCCTCAGCTGGTGATCGGTTCCCGTCCTCAGGTGGTGATCGGTTCCCGTCCTCAGCTGGTGCGAGGTTTATGTCCTTGGCTGGTACTCGATTCTTGTCCTCAGTGTGTTTCATCATCAGGATGGAGTTGTAAATTTTGAGGGCGGGGCCGAGTTTAATCGACATGATTTTAATAATGTCCCTTAGCGTCAGTAGGAGGAAGGCTCGCCCGTCGATTTGCTGAAAGGTAACAAGAAACCAAGAGTTGTTCGTATCACCTTAACAGAGTTGTCATGTTATAAAGCCGCCAAGTGGGGGGGGTGTCTCACCTCATCTTGGAACTGTTTGGCCTGATTTTCACAACCCGGGAGTGACTCTATGAAATCCGACACCTGCAGAATAGCAGACATGGTGAAATAAAAAATGGCTTGAAAAAAAAAAAAACAGGGCGATAACATATAGAAAGAATGAAAGAACAGGGAGCGAAGGAGAAGGATGAAACCTGTTGCACACTCCAGCGTTCAACGGCAGCAGCATGGACGCCGGCGACACCCGGCAGGAGTTTACGCTGTTGCTCCCAGCAGAAGGACAGGGCACGACCAGGCTGAGCTGACATCGCTGAAAGGAAGACCGACTGATGAAGAGCTGCCCGAAGGCTGGATTCTGGTAACAGGTCAGAGTTAGAGAGACACAGGTCAATGAGAGAGGCCTAGTCAGGTATGAAAGAATGTGCTTGACGGTGGACTTAAAAGACAAAACAGGCCAGAAAAACAAGTCAGCGATAAGGGATATTTTTTTGAAACCAACAGGTTCTCTGCATCCACCATTGACATTACCTGGTGCACCATCTGAAGGCTGAAGCTGCTCTTCTTTCTTTTCTACAAGCATGACTTTACTTGGTTGACAGAGACTGTGGACAAGAGCCAGGACAAAAGTATAGTTGTGTTATATAATCCAGATAAGGTATCGTAACCTCTTCACGAACATAAACAATGTGATTGAGAGTGACTGTAAGAAAAGCAGAGACCGTTGACCCTTTAAGTTCCATGTACAGGTTCATTTTTAAAGCTACATAACTGTCCAATCAAAGTCGGCTACGCCAATAGCCTGGGACGAGTGGACAGATGTGTTGTCCACACTTGTCTTTCTGACTAACACGTATTTGATGTGATATGATAAGAACCCTTCTTTCTTTACTGCATCGCTTGTGCAGTTGAATGACTGTGCAGTACTATTGTAATTACCGTATTTTTCGGACTATAAGGTGCACTTTATTTTTCTCTCGTTCGTTTACTTTTTCTCAAAAATTGACAGTGCACCTGATAACCCGCTGCGCCTTATGTATCACTTCTGGTTGCGTTTACTGACCTCGAACCGATTTTGTAAAGCCAAACCACACATGATGGCTCACAACCGAAGCGCACTGGGAGCCAACAATGACGTGTAACTCTGTTATCACAATTAGAAGATGCTCAACAACAACTGTTGTGTAACCCAAATCCGTCGCGACGTCGCGTCAAACTCCCGGAGACTCTGCGTTGCGTTTTTGAATTGTCCATGTATGGTGCGATGCAGGACGACTCAAAACAACGATACGGTGACCATCCAGAACAGAAATAGTGACAACCGCCTGACTCTGGAGGGGCGAACAACACCAACAACATTGGCCTCCTGTGTCCAACTTAGGTCACTACTGATCTGCGACTCCATACGTGCACATCTCACCGGTATTGTCACAACAAGGCGTTTAAAATTAAATTGCGAGATGCGTGGGAGCATTGGATGACAGAAGTTGAACACACATTCACCAAGACAGGGAGGCAACGCCGGGCGAGTTACGCCACTATCTGCCAATAGATCGTGGATGCCTGGGCTAAGGTGTCAGTCTCAAATGTCGTCCAAGGTTTCATAAATGCCGGAATCATCCCTGAACAGCTAAGTAACAGCAATGAGACTGACTCGGATAATGACGAGAGGGAGCTAGACATGCTTGATTGTTCCGCTTAATTGTTTCGCTTAGTAGTTCCTTCCTTCCTTCCTTTTCCTTCCTGTTGTGCTCAGTGTGACTGCTAATAAAGACCCCTTCAAACTTCCCTGTTTCTGTTTACCTCTGCTGCGGACAAGCACAAGTGAAGGGAGTTAGCCCCGTGGCTAATGTTAGCGCCTGCATAATTTTTAACCTCAGACTAGACTCAAGGAGAAAAAAAAGTCTCTAAGAAAAATAAACGAGTATTAGTAATGTTTGGAGGTACTGTGTGATACTGTTGAATATTTTCCCTAAAAATCTATTTTTCATTTTCCACAGGTTAGTTGGAAAGTGTAACTGGAGAGTGAGACTTTTGGACGACTCTAGATCGGGGTGGCAGAGTGTTCCAGAAAGGGCCGCTGTAGCTGCAGGTTTTTGTTCCAAACAAGCAGCAGTGAACTTGACACTGAGACCACATTCACCCTTACCTCTCCATTAGTCTTTTTCTCTTCCCAAGCGGAAGCAAGAGAGATTCTTCTTCAAATTCCGCCTTCACCTTATCACTGCTCCTTCTCAGACAAACGACGGAACAGACAGACACGCAGGTGAGAGGCAACCACAAAATGACAAAGAACGTCATAGGTGATGGACACAACATTTGCCTCGGTCTACCTATTAGACTGATGCCTGGCAGCAGGTATTAGTGTGATTACTCTCTCTCCCCCGAGTCGGTCTGGAAGTACTGTCTCCTTACGCATGTTAGTGTCCGAGTATGGACAGCCGAAGGCACTAGAGACGCGGAGACAAAGAGAAAGAGAAAAAACATGGCTTAACGCAGAAAAAAAGAGTTACTGATTTTTACAACAACAACAACAACAACAACAAAAAAACAATTCTTAAATGTGAGAGGCACAAGTGCAAGAACCCAAGGAGGAGACAAAAAGTTCTTTATCTTTAAATGTCTTATCACTGACTTAACCAAGAGCTAAAACAATAGCGACAAGGTCAAATGAAACCTGAGCTACTGAGTTGAAATGGAAATTTGATTGGTTGGTTGGGTGGGTCACATGGTGCACTCGGCTTTGCTTTAACAGAACAGATGTGCCACGGCAACGTCCCTTTTGAAAAGTGTGATGAAGCCACATGCACAAAACGTTTGACCTATTGGCAGTATAATAAATAATTCTCCAATACAATCAAAGTGTTTGCAGGACTTGACTTTTTTCCTTTTTTTTTTTCTTTTTTTTATAGGAAAAAAGGCCATCAATTTTATAGCTTATCCAGGTCCAACAGTAGGAATACTGACAATTCAAAATGTCTGCCGAAAAAAAATAAAAAAATAAAAGACAAAACAACTAACTAGTATGCCACCTCAAAACAGTTTGCTAACTGGGGGGAAAAAAAACTGCACCTGGAGATGCAGAGCCTTAGTCCCAATGCTCACTAAGGCATTTGGTTCGACAAAGTAAAAATAAGACAACAGTTCAAAGTGGTGTGTGTGTGTCACGGAGTGTAGTTCACGCAGCAAAAGTCGTGCACAGTATATATCTTTTTATAAGGGGCTCATTCAGTGGCATGTCCATAATGAGTAGCGTTCAGGTAACATAGGAAAATTTAGAGTTTCTTTGTAACAGAAGCCTGAGAAGATGATCGGAGCATTTAGGAGGCATAGTAAGGCGTTAAATTAGGGTCAACTTTCACCAAACACAAGAGGTAAACAAAGCTACCAGCAATGTCTTTTAGTTTATTTTTTTGCTATATTTTTACTGTTTAATTTTTTTGAAAGTTAGAAAATCAGGAAAATAATGAAAATATTGGAAATCTTCTTTTTTTTTTTTCCTTTACCGTAAAATACCATGACATAGCAAAATTCTCTTGAGATTGTTGATGATTGATGTACTGAGGGAGTGAAGGGAGAACCGCAATACAGAGAGGGAACACTGCACTTGCATTAAAATGAAATATTATTATTACATTAGTGGTTAATTTAGTCTCAAAATAATGGTGACAATAATATTTTTTTTTTTATCGATCGACAATGATTTATGGAACAATATATTGTCCAACAAAATTGGTTATTGTGTTTCTGTTCTTACCTGTGATGACCTGTGTATTTGGATCCTTTGATGTGTCCAACTCCTCGGCAGCCTGGAGTGGGGCATAATCCCTGAGAAGGAGATGAGGGAGGGACCTGACCTGTCTCATACACACACACAAGCATATGCACATCCACAGAATAATAAACATTGCCATCTACATGACTTGATAACATGTTTTATTTGTCTTCATCCCCTTCTTTTTTCTAACCTGGTGGTGGTTCTAGTGGGTGACCAGTCTGTTGACACCAGCCTACAGGATGAAGGTCACTGTGATTGCTGTCGAACCACACGTCAAACTGAGACGACCAGTCATCATAGTGAATCTGAAACACACACACACACACACACGTATACGTTTATAGCTACTGAGTAAGACACAGCACTGAACAGGATGGCAAAAAAAAAAAAAAAGAGTACCTTTATTTTGAAATCCTCTACACACACAATTGTTGCGACTCGAATCAACATGGGGTTCCTTTTGTCCACGGCCTCCAGCCTTTGGTTTACCTGGAAACCATTTGGGGCTCTCTGATTGGGGAAGATGCAGACTTGTTTATATAATGTTTCCAAAACAGGAACAGTAGTTTATCCCTACCACGTACCTGTGTAAAAGCTGATCTGGGAGCAGCAACTGACTCAGTTTCCTGCAAATATTCTTCCCATGAGAAGTTTTCTGGGTCTGGATGTCCTGCAACACACAAACACACACACACACAAGAGCAATTCTGAGTGTGTTAGAAACCTTGAGTATGCACACATGCATACCAGTATGTGTGTGTACCCTGTGGAGATGTCAACGGTCGTCCGTGTTCTTCACACCAGCCAACAGGATGAATGTAAGGACTGTCACTGGTACACCTGGTCCATTAGATTTGACAGGTTAATATAGTTCAGTGGTTCTCAATCATTTCGGAGACAGAAATGTTTTCACGCCCCCTTCCGACCCACACCCCCGCTAATTGAAAAACGATTGAGAACCTGATAACATGTATATATATATATTTTTTTTTTGTTTAACATTTTTTATTAAAGTAACAACGCAGTATATATTTTTTTATCTCTACAAATGGCTGTATGAGTTGCTGCCACCTAGTGACTGTTATTATTATTATTATTATTAATGATAATTATTATTGTTATCATTCAAGCATTACAGCAGTGGTAGACTTATGTCCAGTGTGCCATATTGTATTGGAAGCCCCTCACGCCCTGCCTGGCATCTCACTGCACACCCGCAGGGGTGTCCACGCCACTGTTTGTGAAGTATCAATATGGTCACAGAGGCATAAATGGACATGGTCATTTCTGTCTCTCTGTCTTACCAGTAGTCATACGTATCGTCCCAGTTGTCAAAGTGAATAAGGAATCGGTCCTGAATGACCTCAGTGACAGAGGCGACACAGACAAGTCCTGGATTCTTCCTGTCCACTGCTTCCAGCTTCATCCCCACCTTAAATGCACAGTCCTGGGGAAAACAGAACATTCAGAAAGACAGAAATAAAGAAAGGAACTAAGAGAGAAAGAGTGAGGCCGAGCAAGAGAGAGAGAGAGATACCAGACTGACTTCTAACACTTCCTCCACCCTGAACAGAGAGAGATACCAGACTGACTTCTAACTTCCTCCACCACAGTCTGAAGAGATAGACATCATAGACAGAGAGAGGGGAAACTAGTGTATACTGACTGCAGTGGGAAAGGTGAACAGAGCAAACGGAGCAGCATCGGAGCCTGTGGACTCAAGGTACGCCTGCCAGTTAAACTCGGTGTCAGTGTGACCTGCAGAAAGACAGGCAGGGAGTCGATCATATAGACAGAAAGTAAGGCAGTACCCTCCGCACGTCACTATTGAAAGGACTCACATTTAGGCGGGTGAAGCTTGCGGCCGTGCTCTTGACACCACCCTGCCGGTCTGATATCCACCGAATCAGCGTTAACCCAGAAGTCATAGCACTCGGAGTAACCATCAATATGGAGACGGAGGCGATATCCAGTCACCTATTGGAGACGGGCAGAGAGAGAGATAGAGACAAGGTTGTAAATGTGGTGAGCTTTTGGGAAGCCTGTGCAAAAACACATTATGTTTTTGGAATTTCAAACCACTCTCTTTACAGATATGAGCGCGCAAAAGCGTCTTACCTCAGCAACTGTCAGAACACAGAACATCGACGGGTGCAGCGGATCAATTCCCTCCAATTTCATCCCAACTCTGAAGCCTGATTTTGTGCTGGGAAATAACTGGGACTGATGGACAGATGGGTCAGAAAACTTACTGATTTACATATTGCTACCAATTTAAATAATGTTGCAGATAACAGACAAGACACGGAGGATGATAAATATTATATATTCTGAATGTGTTCAAATATTTGTTTCTTTAAAAAAACATCAATATGTGTGGAACTGGATTATGGCAGTAAAATCCATTCAAACGTTTTAAAACTGTGCTGCTTTTGTTGTAGTTTTAGTTTATTTTTTTGTATGAAAGCAAAACTGTATTTATGCCTTACCTGAGTAAACAGTGTAACAGGGGCAGCTTCAGCTTTCTGCTTATACAAATACTGCTGCCACGACCACGACCGTCTTTTTACACCTGCTTCACACAAACACGCACAAACATATAAACATTTAACGCTTTTAACGCTTGGAAAACTGTCACTTTAAAAAAAAAATTAAAATAAAGTTTTATCACCTTGAGAGCTGCTAACTTTGTTCTTCATCTTTTGTCTCTTCTGCGTATATGGAATAGACAAACACACACACACACACAATAACTCCTTTATTAACTATATACGTTATAGGAATATTATAGTAAAGGGCAGTGTTGTCTTTCTATTTCAATAAAAACTTCGAACGGAAACGCATAATTTATAGTAAGTAAGGCATTTACAATTAATAGCTTTTTTGGTGAGCGTTTCTTAAAGACATTTATTTTTAACGTGACCGGAATTGTCGCCCTGTCTTCTTCGTGTGAAATGACGAAGCTACCATCAGGAAACAAACGTCTCAAAAACACCGGCGGATTAACGGCCGTGTCCGCCGGCCTCAGAGCGATAGAGTGCTTTAGTTACTGCGGCGAGGAAATAAAAGACCGGAAGAACAGAAGGGGGACGAGCCCCTGCCGGTTACCATAGTTAGGGTACCAACTTACCGTGAGTGTTTCCCCGAGTCCCAGCGATGACAGCTCCTACACACCACGGAACTAAGTAAAGGTCAGTGCGCATGCGCCTAACAGAGAATCTGTGAGACGAGAGCGAGAGAGAGAGAGGGAGGGAGAGAGAGAGAGAGAGAAACCGTGTTATACTATATTTACAACTATTTCACAGACATAATTTAAAGGGTTTGGGTCATAACAAAGTGTCATTGCACATTTAAATTAAATGTATTCATCCTCCCCAAAAATTGTTGCTAAAAGGTGTTAGACATTTTCCTGTAGAAATTAAGCAGAACCAGAATCAAGCCTGTACAGTATGTTAGCTAAAACATGGCCATTGCTTCCTGTCTCTGTCAAGGCTCCACCCTGTTTTTTCTGCTTCCAAAAATTGCCATTTTTGTTTCCCTGGAGGGGAAGTTTAGGAGTTGCCACTTTTTGCTTCTGAATCTTGTTGTACTTTGCTTGCATTATGAGGACTCTTTGGGTAAAAAAAAAAAAAAAAAAAGCATTAAAGAGACTTAAAATCAACATAAAGAAAGGGAGAAGTTTGTTCAACAAAAACATTTAAAACAGTTCCTTTGCCTCCAGAACTATCTGACCAGACTTGATCCAGAACTGACAGTAATGTCATTATTTACATTGTTATTCATAACTAATACAATCTACCTCAGCAGAACTACTTGGTAGATACAGCTTACAGTAACAATAAGGTTTTTCCTACAACTGTACTGTTTGCAGTACATGTGGCTCTATAGTGTAATGGTTAGCACATCTGCTTTTCAAGCAGAGTCCTGGGACTCCCAGACAAACCACATATCTACCTTGCGCCTCCAAGGGGCAGCCTGTTGCAGCACATCTGCTGTTAACATTCATTTTCCCAGTGTGGGATCAATGTGCATTTAAAAAAAAACAGCGTGTCTGACTGTACCTTACACTATATATTGTGTTATAGTGTTGAATGTCTACCTTGGTCTACACTTGCAATCCTTCCTTCCCTCCTCCTTCCCCCTCTGCTATCTCACCTGCAGACGTCAACACTGAGCCTGGATCTGCTAGAGCTTTCTTCCTGTTACTAGGGAGTTTTTTTTTTCTTCTCCCAACCTTTGTTTAAAAACTGGTTCAGTGTGTTGTTTAATTTCACTTTCAATATCATTTGTGTTTCTTTACTTTGTTTAAACTCAGTATGACATTGACTTTATATATTCCTTAATTTTTACCGCGTCGTATGGGTTTTTCAGGAAGATATTTTTTCATTTTGATATTTGATTTTTTAATTGTAATTCCAAAACTGTGAAACCAATTGAGACAAAACTGTTTTGTGAAGGCTATACAACTGTTGCAACAACAAGCTGTTTAAAACTCCAGATTAAAAACAGAGACTAAATAATTAGTAAACATGGCCCCATGAAAAGCTCTGCACTGGAGGTTGCCGGTCTGTTTTAAGGGGGGTTCATATAAACCTGATGGATGCTTTTGACACAGTTTCTACATAAATCTTTCGTGGACAACAGTTGAAAAACAGATGGCCCTCTGGAATGGGTCTTCAGGATCAGGGTGAACTGTTTTTGGTGAGCTTAAAAAAACAAAACCACACCTTAAGTTTCACATACATACATACATACATACATACATACATACATACATACATACGTACATACGTACATAAATACATACAGTACATACATACATACACATGTATGTATGTATGCATACATAAATACGTACATACATAAATACATACATACATAAATATGTATGTATGTATGTATGCATACATAAATGTATGTATGCATATATAAAAATACATACATACAGACAGACAGACAGACAGTACTTTATTAATCCCTCGGGAGTTCCCTCCAGGAAATTTAGGCTCCAGCAGCAGTACAGCACCAAAATAACAGTAAAAACACACAAATAGGTAAAATACAGTAAAATACAACCATGAGTAGCAGCAACTGACAATGAATATGGGAAACCTGAACAGTGAGATAGTGTTAGTAGTATTAGTAGATTAGAAGGTAATTATTGTTGCTGTGTATGGTGTTGATTGCTATCTCAATTATTATTTATTATTATATTTATTATACCATTGTTAACCTTTGTTAATGTATGTATATATAAAACAGAACTAAATTAATTATAAGGATGTTATGTGATCAGGTATGTAAATAGTTTAAATATCTAAACAGTATAAATAGTTGAGTAGTTAAATAATTAAATTAGATAAGAACAGGTATATGGGCAGTTCCAGCAGATATATTAGTGTATGGGGTGTCGACTGGATTTATACAGCCATTATTTATAGGAGCTACTATACATATGTAATATAACATTATATAGGATAGATATTATTAATATATTTATACACATTAGTATAATGTGTATAAAACACAAGTTATAAATATGCATATATATACATACACATGTACATACGTCCACATATATGCACTACATACAGTGGGTACGGAAAGTATTCAGACCTCCTTAAATTTTTCACTCTTTGTTATATTGCAGTCATTTGCTAATGTTCATTAAAAATAAAACATTTCTTTCCTCATTAATGTACACACAGCACTCCATATTGACAGAAAAACACAGAATTGTTGACATTTTTGCAGATTTATTAAAAAAAACAAACTGATATATCGCAGCCCCGGGCGCCTAAAGCTACATTCTGTTCACTTTGGTGATTGGTTAAAAGCAGGGGTCACATTTTGTTGTGTGCAGTGGTGTGCTGTGTCACAATGACAAGTAGTTCACTTCACTTCACATGGTCCTAAGTATTCAGAGCCTTTGCTGTGACACTCATATATTGAACTCAGGTGCTGTTCATTTCTTCTGATTATCTTTCAGATGGTTCTACACCTTCACTGGAGTCCAGCTGTGTTTGATTATACTGATTAGGAAAGCCACGTACCTGTCTATATAAGACCTTACAGCTCACAGTGCATGTCAGAGACAATGAGAATCATGAGGTCAATGGAACTGAAGTGGAAGAACTCACAGACAGAACTGTGTCAAAGCACAGATCTGGCCAAGGTTAGAAAAAAAACGTGTGCTGTACTTAAGGTTCCTAAGAGCACAGTGGCCTCCATAATCCTTAAATGGAAGATGTTTGGGACGACCAGAACCCTTCCTAGACCTGGACGTCCAGCCAAACTGAGCAATCGGGAGGAAGGTGGTGAGAGAGGTAAAGAAGAACCCAAAGCTCACTGTGGCCAAGCTCCAGAGATGCAGTCAGGAGATGGGAGAACATTTTAGAAAGTCAACCACCACTGAATCCGGCACAGTGGCCTGACAGAAGCCTCTCCTCAGTGCAAGAACCATGAAAGCATGCATTGAGTTTGCTAAAAAAAACACCTGAAGGACTCCAAGATGGTGAGAAATAAGATTCTCTGGTCTGATGAGACCAAGATAAAACTTTCTGGCATTAATTCTAAGCGGTATGTGTGGAGAAAACCAGTCACTGCTCATCACCTGTCAATACAGTCCTAACAGTGAAACATGGTGGTGGCAGCATTATGCTATGGGGGTGTTTTTCAGCTGCAGGGACAGGACGACTGGTTGCAATTGAAGGAAAGAGCAATGCGGCCAAGTACAGGGATATCCTGGAAGAAAACCTTTTCCAGAGTCCTCAGGACCTCAGACTGGGTTGAAGGTTCAACTTCCAACAAGATGATGACCCTGAGCACACAGCTACAATAACCAAAGAGTAGCTTCACAACAACTCTGACTCTTGAATGGCCCAGCCAGAACCCTGACTTAAACCCAATGGTGCATCTGTGGAGAGACCTGAAAATGGCCGTCCACCAA